TATCCTTCTCAGGTCTCTGTTGGGGTTGAAGATTAGATAGTTATAGTTTTACTATTTTCATTGTTACCAAATTCAAAAAAGAAATTCGTAAAAGAGATGTGAACTTTATAAAGCTTGAGAAACATAAAAACTTAAGTTGTTTAAGAAAATAGCTTAAGTTCTAAAAGGTTATTTTTAGGAGGGTAATACTAGTTATAATAAAAAAAAAGGCTTAGATATAGAACTTTGTACTCACCAAGATAGGATAGATAATAAAGTACTTTCTTTGAATTTGCCAAATACAAATGGACTAGACATTGTGAATTACTATGTTAGAGTTAAAAACTTTTCCTTTTTATTTAGACAAAAAGGGGGAAATGTTGTGGGATAATCTTTTTGTACACTGTAAAGATGTGTCTCTGTTTTAACTCACCTGCCTAAGGCACCTTCTGATTAGTTTAATAAAGAGCTAAATGGCCAATAGCTAAGTAGGAGAGGATAGGTAGGACTTCGAGAGAGAGAGAGAGAGAGAGGAACTCAGGCAAAGAATCTGAGAGGCAGAGATTCACCAGCAAGATGTAGAGGAAGTCAAACGTACAATATGGAGAAAAGGTAACAAGCCACACAGCAGAATGTAGATTAATATAAATGAGTTAATTTGAGTTTTAAGAGATATTTAGGGACAAGCCTAAGCTAAGGCCAAGCTTTCATACTTAATAAGTCTCTGTGTCATTATCTGAGAGCTTGTGGTCCAAAAAAGTCTGACTACAGGGAAGTATCTAGAAAGGGGTCCTCTGCAAACAAACCCCTTAGAACTTCCACTATTTCTAAGAGGTGCGACAGCTCTGCCATTGTGTCTGTTAGTTGCTGGTGGCTGTACCAAGTACTTACTTAGCTATATCAGCAAAACTTTTCATGCTCACCCAAGAGAGGGACTCTCATGGAACACCAATGGCATGAACTCTTAGGAAACAACAGCTGTGTGGCTATAAGAGTATGTGTTTATGATGGACTTTGATGGTCAGCTACATTGCAGGGAACTTTGACTCACTGAGTATTTTGTGCATGAGAAAATAAGTTGGCCCCTGATATACCGATTAGTAATGGGTGTCATTTGCTGGTGTTTATACTCAGGATTCATAGGATTAAATTCTCAGTGGAAAAGCTTTCTTGGTGTACGTTGCCCAAATGAAGTCATCTGCTCGCATGAAGAATTTTTATCTCTCTTTAAAAACAAAATGTTTCATGAATTGCCTGTTTAAAATAAATGACAGGAAAAGAGATATTTTGAAACAGAAACTTAGTAGAAACCTAGACTTGATGCGGTTTTTAAAAACATGTAAGACATAGTCAACATTTGTAGTCAACCTGTAGGGTCTGATTATATGATAGATATCTTGCCACATTTCATAGTCAAAATTTCCAAAGGAATACTTACTATCTTGCCCCCAAACCCCCTCCTGCTCCTAATTTAGCTATCCACACCATTTGTGACAGCCACTTATATTCATAGCATCCTAATTTTGGTTTCCAGAAGCAACATGGGGAGGTAAGAGTTTATTTCATCTTACAGGTTACAGTTCATCATAGACAGAAGTCAAGGCAGGAATCTGGAGGCAGGAGCTGAAGCAGAGGCCATGGAGGAACACTCCTTACTGGCTTGCTCCCCACAGCTTGCTCAGCTACCTTTCTTCTAAAGCCCAGACCCACTTGCCTAGGGATAGCACTGCCCACAGTGGATTGGGCCTTCCTACATGAATCAACAATCCCAAAAATGCCTACAGATACCCCCAGGCCAATCTGATGAAGGCAATTCCTCTTTGAGGACTTCCCAGACGTGTCAAGTCGATTACCAAGATTAGCCAGCACATCAATCCCACATTCATAGCCAATCTTTCTCCTCAACCAATCCTGATCTAATCTGGCCCAAACATCTGTAAAAACATAGGCTCCAAGCTCCTCTGTGCTGATATCCCTTTTGTTCATTCTATTTTCTTAACCTAAAAGTTCTTTGTTCCCTTAAAAGGCCACTTTTCCTGTGAAATCGCCAAGATCCCCCTAACCAGTTACACCTCTATCTTGAATCTTCGGTATGGTATGTGGCATCGCTATTCTCCATTCCTTGAAGCTATTTATGAATCCCATGTCCTCCTTGTCAACACCAGGTGTTCACCTCATGACAGTTGAGAATATGGCTCTTTCATATTCACATCCCCAGAGGTACACAGGACACTGCCTTGCATATAGGAAGAATTCAATATATTCTGAAAATATAATTTTTGTGGTCAAGATATTCTGAAAATACAATTTTTGCCCAAATAAGATACCACTGATTGGGTTATAGTTTCATGGTCTTCTTTACAGTACCCATTACCTTCATACTCAAAGAGATGTCTCTCAGACTTAGAAGCTTGTAGGGAGGGTGGCAATAGTTCCTCTTGGGAATAATACTCATTAGGCAATTGTCTACCACTGGCCCATGCTACATGCTTCACTGTAAATACTGTAGTCCTTGGCTTCAGTGGCAGACTCAAAGCCAAAGAAGATGAGTATAAGAGACTCTTAAGTTGCTATGGAGAATTTATGTCAAGAGACCTGGAAAAAGCAACACCTGCTGTCTTCAGAAGAATTACAGCTATGATGATGTCTTACTAGTGACAAAAATGATGGACTTCTCATTGGTTTAGAAACTGCTTTTCTGGGACTGGAGAAATGGCTGCTCTGGTGACGTGCACAAGTTCAAGCACGCACATTACCACGTCATAACTGCTGGTAACATCAGCTCTATGTGTTCTGATGCCCTCTTCTGGCCTCTGTGGGTATGTAGACACATGTGCACATACTCACCCAGAGATACACACACACACACACACACACACACACACACGCAGAGAGAGAGAGAGAGAGAGAGAGAGAGAGAGAGAGAGAGAGAGAGAGAGAGAATTTAAAAAGTAAAATAAATCTTTTTCTCTTTAACAAACTGGTTTTCTAAAGTGACAATAATGAGAGTCAGAATGAAAGAGGTGAGTTTTGTTGGTGCTGCTGTACTGTTTAAACTCTCCTCATGAAACATCTGGCATGCATGTATAGCATTTAGCTCTTGTAAATGAGGTGGATATGTGAGCATGTGTCCAGTTCTAATCATGGAACCTCTAAAACTGTCTTTAAAATGTGTACATTCACTATCAAATAAAACGGGAACTAGACAAGCTCCTCAAAATGCTGCCATATTGTGACACAGTGCTATTTATCTCACAGGATCTTTCCACATCTCTGCTCTTTCATCCACAGGCTCCAACCTGTCACAAAGATCGCCGCTCGAAACACTGGCTGATTTGACGTTGTTATTGTTGTTGATGAGGATGATGATATTTGATTGGGGTGTGAGGGGTTAAAGTGAACATCTTTCTCTAATTATGTAGATAAAAGTCTCCATTTGCAGCACTCGGGAGGCAGAGCCAGGCAGATCTCTGTGAGTTCGAGGCCAGCCTGGGCTACCAAGTGAGTTCCAGGAAAGGCGCAAAGCTACACAGAGAAACCCTGTCTCGAAAAACCAAAAAAAAAAAAAAAAAAAAAGTCTCCATTTGTTCTGATTGGGCCATTTTATGCCGACTGCCTAGTGAAGAACAAACACCTGTCTTCAGGGAAATACCATGTGCCAATCTGCTTAGATTCAGGTCCCTGAAATCCATCCTAAAGATTAGACGCTTCATGGTTGGCTAAGACTAAATTACAATCATTTAGGAAGAGATGCAAACTATTAAAAGCATATTGATACTCTAAAACACACAGAAAAGAGGACTAAAGTTGGTGCTTTATAGGATAATAATTGTAAATATGACCTGAAATTACTATTCAAATGATGATGAATGACTTTTTAAATTAAGAAACTAAAATCCGTTAAATATACTTTTTTAAAGGATTTGTAATGACTTCCTGAGTGAGATTATTACAAATAAATACCAACATTACCCCAAGTGGGTCTTCTTCAGTGAAGAAATGGGACTTATTTAATGTAGACTGTGACTCTCATGAGGCACAGACCATGCCCATCTTCCCCAGTGCCTATCCCTGGCAAAGGGAAATGTTCAATTTTTTTTCTGGCTGGATAAATAATACACACGATTCATTAAATGATAGATACTTGTGCTAGAACAGGGGCCAAGTGCATGGAACGCAGATGTATTGAACTGTAAAGAATGCCCAGGGGAAGGCTCTGCAAGACAAAAGTGACTACATGAAGGACCAGGTGTCAACTGCTACCTACCTCTAAGCCAGCAATGTCCCAGAACCATAACGAACATCTGACAACACTGTAGCTGAGCAAATGTACACCTTTGTTCTTTAAAATGTGGCACTCGGTTTGGGAGATAACCGCAAGGCTGGCACAAGGACCCAGGTTTGACATTACACACACACACACACACACACACACACACACACACACAGTAAAACTCAGGCATAAAGGCATGCACCTTTAATCTTAGTACTAAAGAGGTGGGCACAGCAGATTCCTGGGATTCCCTGGCGTGCCAGCATAGTCTGCTTGGCCAGTTGGAGACCATGAAAGACCCCGACACGAAGAAAATGTGGGGAGTACCTGAGGAACAACACCTAAGGTTGTACTCTGATCTCCACCGGCACACATGTACATATGCATCTGCACACAGGCATCACATGCCCCTCCGATGACATCACACACACACACACACACACACACACACACACACACACACACACACACAGGAAAGTAGTGCTTTAAACTGCCCGTCCATGGACTGTGGAAGCCCTGATGTCCTCTGGCACCAGCTAGTGCAGTGCCGTCTCCTGAGGTCTCCTGTCAGAAGCTACCACAGACATTCCCACAAAGACACCCCACGCCACCACCGACCAAACAAACAAAATGTGCCCTCCTAGATTTCCCTGCGGCTCCGTAATGAAGGGACTTGGAGGTGTGTTTCCCCGTGTGCCACTGGCTTTTTGTACACTCTGCATCGATGCTGCCCAGCTGCCGCACTGACCTTCCAGGACACTGGAACTTCCCGCCTCCAAAAGCCATGAAGCCGTCCAAGAAAGCATTCTTATCTAAATTTGCCTCTTTCCAGCGTTCCTGTGGGAAGAAAACACTTTTTTTCCTAAGTCAGTCTTATATAAATAAGCTTAACTCTGCTTCTCTGGGCTAAAAATGATGCTGTACAGCTAATCCTTGCATACAAAGTTGCAGAGTTGTGGGTCATTTTTCCCCCAACCTGTTATTAATATCAGACACAATTGTGGTTTTGGAACATGAACTTATAAACAAAAAAGGCTTAACAATAATCCTATTAAGTGGCGAATGTAAATGACAACGTAAATCACCTACAGAATTGACCTAAGAAGAGGAAGGCTATTTATAACGTGGCCTCGGGCTTTATCATAAAATTGCTCATAATAATAAATTCAACAGCAAGACGTGAACAGAACTGCCTGCTGGAGGAAGCCTGTGGAATAAGTACATCTGGGTGCCAGTTCTCCCAGACTTTCCGAAAGGCAAGGCATGAACTAGCTGAACTCTTAGAATGGCTCAGTCCTGTGAGTCCCCAAGCACATGAAGTAACAGATCACTATTTTAATTTGCTGTGTTTTTATTTTGTGGGCTCCTTGGAAACCAGTAACAGAAGCAGTTGCCCAAGGAATACAAAATAAGGCTTCCTTCCAGCAGAACCAGGGCTACTGGCTTTCATGTTCCTTCCCAGCATTGTATAAAAAGTTCCTCTTTGAGGATGCTCATTCCAACTCCTCTATCCAATCTGCAAATATAACATCTACATTGCAAATACTATTGGTCTATCATAGCCAACGTTGGGCACAGTTACCAGAAAATATGGCTGCTTACTGATACAGGCTCAGCTAATTTATTCATTCATATTCTTGGCAAGAAACACAGACATTATAAAGAATAATACATATTGAAAGAGAGCACTTACAGGTTTGAATGAGTCGGGTTCAGGAAAATATTTTGGATTTCTGTGTAGCCAGAATGGAGACAACATCAACAGATCACCAGAAGGAACTGTATGACTCTAAGATAGAAAAATCAGCTTCAAATCACTTATTCTGAAATAAGTTTTAAGGAGGGTTTGGGTCATTAAAAACCAAGCTACAACTATATCGTGAAAAAGAGACATTTTATAATAAGTGAGAAAAACCTAACGTTCCTGGTTAGGTAATTCTCATTCTCTCATTCTCTCTCTCTCTCTCTCTCTCTCTCTCTCTCTCTCTCTCTCTCTCTCTCTCTCTCTCTCTCTCTCTCTGTGTATGTGTGCATGTGTGTGTGTGTGTGTGTGTGTGTGTGTGTGTGTGTGTGTGTGTGCCATGGCGTATGTGTAGCAGACAGAGGACAACTTGTGGGAGTTGGATTCTGGAGACTAAATTTAGATGTCAGCCTTGGAGGCAAGTGCCTTTACCTGCTGAGCCATCTCCCCAGCCCTGTTTCAGGTGCAGGGTCTCTCACTGAACCTGGAGCTAATCATTCTGGCTGCACTTCTTGGCCAATAAGCCCCTGAGACCTGCCTGTCTCTTTCCCCCAGCACTGTAATAAGGAGTGCTCACTGCCACACGTGGCTTTGCATGTGGATGCTGGGGATCCGAACTCAGGTCTCTGTGCTTGCAAGGCAAGTCCTCTTACAAACCAGGCAATCTCCCTTTTTCCTTGGATAGATCATTTCTGTGGTCCAATTAGGAGATGGCTAATTTCTAATTCTGCTTATGAGTCACCTGTACATACATGTTTGACTACATAGAGGGATATACTAGTTAAATGTCAGCATTTTATTTTCTTAAAGATTTACTTTATTTTGATTATGTGTCTGTGTACATGAGTGCAATATTGGGGCGCCCAGAAGAGGGCACTGGATCCCCTGGAGCAGGAGTTATGGGCAGTTGTGAGCTGCCATGTGGGTGCTGGGAAACCACACTTGGGTCTTCTACAAAAGCAGTACAAGCTCTTAACCACTGGGCCATCTCCCCCAATCGGATTATTCTTTTAAATTGTGTGTATGTGTGTGTATGTGTGTGTATATGCATGTGAGTGTTAGTGACTGCAGAGGCCAGAGAGGGTGTCCTCTAGACCTGGCATTATAGGCAACTGTGAGCCACCCAGCATGGGTGTTGGGAACCAAACTAAGCAAGCAACATGTGTGTGTGTGTGTGTGTGTGTGTGTGTGTGTGTGTGTGTGTGTGTGCACAGCACGATATATATTCAAAGAGAAGATTGACTACTTCAACTCAGTATTATTAATAATTACTATAATTAATTAAGCAGTCATTGTTTTCTCTTGTGCTTATTTTTTCAATAAAAATACTTTAAAATTTAAAAAAAATCAACAAAACAAATCCAATAATATGTATAAAGAATCAGTAAAAAGTGGTTGAGGAGGCACCCTTTGTCAATCTCTGTGAACCTCTGTCCTCCAGAGGCATATGCACACAACATATAACACACACACAGCACATACTACACACACTGTGATCAAGTGACTTATCAAAGAAGCAAAAGGTTGATTCAGTATTTGATTACTAGTAAATGTGACCCATCTCAGTAAGACAAACAAGGAAAAGGATATGGTTCTACCAACTGATACAGTGATTTATGATTCACAAAATTCTCAGAAAAGTAGAAATAAAATGTCTTGAACTTGACAAAGAGCATCTATAAAAATTCTATGCCCAGCATGGCACTTAACGGTGGAAATGAAAGCTGTCCCCTCAAGGCCAGGACAAAGCACCGTTGGACACTACTAGAGTCAATAGAGTGATGGAAACTATAGCCAGCGTGATAACAGAAGAAAACAAAACAAAGAGACAGAAATAAAAATAAGGCCTATAGCAAAGACATCACCAAAGTCTACAAACATTCCCTGCTTTTGGCTGGGAATGTGGCTTGGTGGTAGAGTGCCTGCCAAGCCTGCACAGGGGCCTGGTTTCCATCCCTGTTACCACAGAAAGAAACGAAGGACCACTGTATTTCTACAAACAAGTTGTATAAACCTGAAAACCAAAACTTTAAACAACAGCGGAAGACCATAAATAAGCCAGATAGAGTGGATCACACCTACAACACTAATACTTTAGAGGCTGAGGCAGGGGAGTCACCACAAGTTTTAGGCCAGCCTGAGGTAACCACGCGTATTCTCATAAGACCCCGCTTTAAAACCCTGCCCCAAACAGCCATTTATAAAAGTTCTAAAATGAACGAAATATTAGGAATAAATATTTTTTAAAAATCTGTTTGCCTGAAAGAGCCATCGGAACACCCACCGACACAGAGACATCTATATCAAGTCTGGGATTTATTCTTTTAACCGTACTTAGAGAAAGCCCAATCAGGATTATACCAACACACAGAGAAACACACACATTTCTCTGCTTCACTGCAACAAGCAGACCATTTCCTCTCAGAGTACACTCACAGTTTAAAGTAATCAATAGAGCAATTAAAAGCAAAGCTATCTAAATCCCAATAAAACAAAGCGATATACTTTATGTAAGATCAATGAAACTAGCTTTGTCTTCAGGGGGTGCAAATGTTCTAACTGTTACAAATTGGGATTTTTATCTCTTTTGTGTTCTACCAAAACCCCCTGGTATCAATCCAAAATCTCTCAAGCTATGTATAAAAAAAGGTAAACAAGAGAATGGAGGGAATTGGTGTGATCTCCCTGGGAGGATGGAGGGAATCGGTGTGATCTCCCTGGGAGGATGGAGGGAATCGGTGTGATCTCCCTGGGAGGATGGAGGGAATCGGTGTGATCTCCCTGGGAGGATGGAGGGAATCAATGTGATCTCCCTGGGAGGATGGAGGGAATCAGTGTGGTCTCCCTGGGTAATAAAGGCCCCTGAGCCAAGTAATTCCTGTAAAATTTTGGTTCTGGTGACTGACGATTGATTCACAGATATTTCACTGCAGGCTGCCACGTGCACAGACTCGGCATGGTGACCTGGAGACTTCTCCCCGACTCTGTCCTCACTCCGCCGCCGTCCTCTTTCCGAGCTGATCCATGCCATGCTTGCTCTCTTCTTAGCCATGTTCATCTGCGGCTAGAAACTCCTGCCAGTCATTGGGAGGCACTTGCTGAGAATCTGTGCAGGAAACAGGTGTCCATGGAGTGCATGCCTAGAAACAGTATGTCTGGATGTCGTCGGTATTACAGCTCCTTGCTGCAAGACTTGCTGCAAGACTCGGGGAATAGCAAGGAGAGAGACTGGGGAGGAAGAGTGTGTCTTCTGGACATGGTGGAGCTGTGGCACTCAGGAGCTCCTGGCAGCTGTGGTCGCCTGCTCCAGGTCTGCACAGGCTGGAACCAACATGGGGATGGGGCAGGGGAGGAGGGTGGAGACACAAGTCCCCACCCCTAGCTGAGGAGCTCTGTACAGCGGATGGCTGCCAGGGGGGAGGACTCCACTCTCTTTGAGGTGTAGCCTCTGGTAGGTTAGCCAGGCCCTGTATTCATGTCAATAGGAGCAGCACTAACTATCGTCAGTGGGTGTTAAATAAAAAAGAGGACACTAAGTTTGGAAGGAGACATGGCGGGGATCTGAGAGGAGCTGGAGGGAGAGCAGAGGGGTGAATGTGACTGAAAATCACCACATCCATATATAAAGTTCTCAAAAAAAAAAGTTTTTAAAAATAAATCCTGTTGAGTCAGCTGACAAAAGACCACCTGCTTGCCTTCAGCCACATTATATAACCGATACAGAAGCACATGGCCAAATGTCTATTTGAAAGGTTATATGTTAGTGAAAATCTTTTCCAAAAGACAAATCTCTCTCTGAATGAGACTGTGTCACTTAACTTAGTGTTTCAAACTGTTCTAGGGTCACTTAGAACTCACGGGAACTTAGGGGCCCATATAAATAATACACACTATCAAAATCCAATGACGTTTTCCAGTGGAAAAAAAATGAAATCTTAAAATTCACATGGAATCACAAAAGGCCCCAATAGCCGAAGGAATCTTAACCAGAATGAACAACGCTGGAGGCAGGGCACCACAGGTCCTAAAAGGCACTACAGAGCTACAGTAATCAAAACGGCACAAAACCAGACTCACAGACCGACAGGACAGAAGAGAGCCCTGAAATCAATCCCTCATTTATGGCTTTTTATAAATAAACGTGCCGAGAATATCCAATGGGAAGATGCCAGTTTTCTTAATAAATGGTGTTGGGATAATTGGGTATCGATATGCAGATGAAAGAAATTAGGTTCTCATCTCACACAGTATATAAAAATAAACTCCAATGGATTAAACTTGAGTGTAAAACAACCAGAACAAAGCACAGAGGAAAACCTTTCTGATACTGATCTGGGAAACGAGGATTCGAGGAACTTAAAAACTTGGACAAGGAGCCGGGCGGTGGTGGCGCATGCCTTTAATCCCAGCACTCGGGAGGCAGAGGCAGGCGGATCTCTGTGAGTTCGAGGCCAGCCTGGTCTACAGCGCGAGATCCAGGAAAGGCGCAAAGCTACACAGAGAAACCCTGTCTTGAAAAACCAAAAAAAAAAAAAAAAAAAAAACTCGGACAAACCAGATTACTCTAAACTAGAATCCTTCTGGACAACTAAGGAAGGCACAGCTAGGGAAGGACAGACAGCCTCTGGGACAGGATGAGATAGGTGTGATGCACACATCTGAGAAAAGGTTCATGTTCCCCACACAAGCAACTCAAACAACTCCATAGGAAGAACAAAAGGGAGCTACAAAACGTGCAAAGACCGAAGCAGACATTTCTCAAAAGAAGACTCCAGAACTGGCTGGAGAGATGACTCAGCAGTTTGGAGTGCTCTTTGTACTTCCGAGGACCCCCGTTTGGTTCCCGCACCCACACCAAGCAGCTTGCAACCGCCTGAAACTCCAGCTTCAGGGAGTCCATCACCCTCTTAAGGCACTGAACTTATGTACCTAACCACCACCCCCAACACACACACACACACACACACACACACACACACACACACACACACACACACACGCATAAAAATAAACATATTTACTGAAGAAGACCTACAAAATATTCAACAAGTTTTTTTAAAAAACATGCAATATCATTGTCAGGGAAATAGGAATCCAAACCTCACGGGATATTATCTCAGTCTTGTTAGAATCTGTATTATCCAAAAAAGCAGAGGTGTCAGAGGACAAAGACAAACAGGGAACCACTGGAGACTGTTTTTTCAAAATGCATATTAGTACAGCCATGTAAGAAATAATATGGCGGTCCCTCAAAAGATTAATAGGAGAACTACTGTGTGATCAAGCTATCCAACTGCTGAGTTTACAGAAAAGGATGTGAAATTAACATGTCAAAAAGGTAACTTCACCTTCATGGTCACTGCAGCGTGCTCTACAGTGACCAGGACATGAATCAGAGTGTGTCCGTCTGCAGATGAATGAAGGAGAATGTACCGTGTATGTGCATGATGAGACATCATCCAGCTTTTTAAAAGATGGAAATTCACAACAGCACAGACAAAGCCTGAGGAAGAATAAGCCAGGCACAGAGGGACAAGAGCCGGGTCATCTCAAAAATCAAAGATTCAGCCCACAGAGGTAGTGCTGAGAAATGTCGTTATTGGAGGCTGGGAGGTAGGAGACTTGAGGAACACTGGCCGAATAATACAAAATTCCATTTAAACAGCAGAGTGTGTTAAAGAGATGTGGCACACTGTGTAGTCACTATAGTCAGAAATAGTGTGCTAACTGTTCATAGTGTACAAATATTTTCGTACAAGAATGATTAAGTGTGTGAATTAATATACAGGTGCATGACTTGATTTGGCCATTATAAAACAGGTACATACTTCAAAGCATGCTGTATAAGACAAATATATATAATTTCTATTCAGTTATACTACATGAAGAAATCAATAATATATCAACCTAGGAAACGTATGAACAAAACACAAACTTTTTCTAGAAGGCTCACTGTTTTCAAACAAAACCAGCACTTACCAGAATTTTAACTGGCTTCACAACTTTCCGAGTAATGACACCAGGCGCTCTTAAGCGGATGGCTTCCAGAACACACCACTTAATGAGAAGGAGCTTCTTCAAGTCTTCGTCCGACACTTTAACCTTATCTTTACCTGTAAAGAGAATTGTTTAAAGATGAAAGAAAAGACGCCCTAGAGAGACCAGAAGGTAGTTAGTTTCCAGCAGGCTCGTCAACGCAGGACAAGCTCACCAACAAGGGAAGTGCGGCTGGGTTGTGCTGATTTTGCTTCTTCTCTGTGCCAGGATGGACTGGCACCCAACCCTACCTCTAACAGTCCTGTGGCTACAGAACAGCTAAGATGGCCTCTGTCTGGAAAGGGTTCAGTTTTTCCTCATCTCATCCTTCCTTGTCAAAATCCCCATCGCACTTAAAGAAATAGCAGTAAAAGACTGGCAGAATATGGCCAGTAAATTAAATGTTTCCAAAAAGTGCTGGACATCCTTAGCCATTGGGGGATGCAAATCGACATTGCCCTAAGGGACTGGAAGATGGTTCAGTTGGTAAAGATGTGTCATGCAAGCATGGGGACCTGGGTTTGGATCTACGGCACCTATGGAAAAAGCTAGGGTGGGGCTGAATGTCAGCATTGGGAGGGTCCCTGGGGCTTGCAGGCCAGCCGGCCTAGTAGAATCAGTGAGCTCCAGGTTCACTGAAACACCTTGTCTTGAAAAGTAAGGCAGAAAAGCAATTGTAGAAGACATCCACCATCGACCTCTGGCTTCCAAGCAGATGTAAAGAATGTTCCCGGGATTCTGATGCCCTCTTTTGGTCTCCACAGGCACTGCACGCACACAGTGCACACACACACACACACACACACACACACACACACACACACACACATATTATATATATGTATATATATATATATACATATACATATACATATACATGTAGGTAAAAACACACACTAAAAATAATTTTTTAAGTTCTAGAGATCATTACATTGAAAATAAACCCAATTGTGAAAGATAAGTATCATCTTGCTCTCATATGCACTTACTTATTCATATACATACATACATACCCATACAAACATACACACACACACACTCAAAAATTACTTTAGGATTACATCTCATTCCAGTAAGAATGACTATCATCGTGAAAACAAGTTCTGGCATGTATGAAGAGTAAGCAGAGCCTGTCTACCCTGCTGGTGGGACAGTAAACTGGTACGGCTTCTACAGAGATCAGTATGGAATGTCCTCATGCAACTAAAACAGGAACCACATATGACACAGCTATATGACTCCTAGGTATGTTCCCAAAGAACTCTAAGCCGGCACACCACAGAGACACTTGCATACCCATGTTTATTGTTGCTCTGTTTACCATGTCAAGATACAGAAACAACCCAGACATCCATGAACAGAGAGATGGATAAAGAAAATGTGGTACATATGCACGATGGAATTTATTCAGGTGTACAGAGAAATGACATGGGATTCACTGGAAAATGGATACAACCAGAGATCACTGGGGCTGGAGAGATGTCTCAGCAGTTAAGAGTAGTGGTTGCTCCTGAAGAGGACCTGGGTTTGGTTCGCAGGCAAGCATATGGCACACATACACACATATGGTCAAACACACATACACATAAAATAAATAAGTTTTTTTAAGTGCTGGAGACCATTATTTTATGCAAAGTAAGCCAGACTGGGAAAGAAATATATATGGCTTGTTTTCTCTCATGTACAGAATCTATATTGAAATGTATGCATTACACAAACATATGATACAGCAGTAGAAAGAAGCCGGGAGAGGGAAGAAAGGTCTGGGGAGAAGAAGAGAGGGTAACGGCGTGTGTATTTATGGGAGGAGTCAGTAACAGGAGAGATCAGATGGGTGAGGGCATCCAGGGGTGAATAAAAACAAAGTACATCGAGAGATCCGTGTATGAAAACATCACAATGAAACGCATTTCTTTGTATAACCAAAAAAATAATTTTAAAAGACACACAGACACACACACATACAGATACACACATACACAGACAACACACACATAGACAAACATAGACACACACACAGACACATACACAGACACAGACACACACACAGACAGACTCACACAGGAAGACACACAGAGATACACACACAGAGACACAGAGACACACACAGAGATATGAAAAGTGACCTGGCCTCTCTTCCCAATGATTATTGTTTGTTTTTTGTTGTTTTGGTTTTTGTTTGGTAATGGAAACCAGGTCCGGCCTTGAACTCAAGATCCTCCAGCCTTATCCTTCTGATACTTCGATGGAAGGCATGCACCACCATGCCCAGCTCTTTCACTTTTCTGTTTAATCATTGATTACAGATGACGCAAAGATAGGGACAGTGGGGGGTGGGGATGGGGGTGGGGTGACCTCTCTGGAATGAAGAGCATGCCCTCTCAACACAGACATACTGGACTTTCCTAAGTTGAATAGCTGAAGATACTAGACTAGATCCAGTCTTTACAAAAGGAATAGACTATGTCAATCTTTACATGGCCTTAAGTGTGGTCATGGAATTTCAATCAGATTATACAACTTAATGGTGAATAATTCAAGGAAAATGCATTCTGAAAATTCCTCAGAGTAGCACTGCTATCAGTCTGGTCCTGACATCACTGACTTAGTAAGTCACCATGACCAATCCATCCAAGTGGATCCCTGTGGCCCTTCCCTCTCTGTCTCCTCACGGCACCAGAGACAATGAGCCAGTTGACCATGGACAAATCCTAAGGAACCCTGAGCCAAAAGAAGCCTTTACTCCTTGATCTTCTTTATCTGTACTAGTCACATGTGTCTCTGTATATGTGTGTCTTTGTGGGTGCCCTTGTCTAGTGTCTCTGTATATGTGTGTCTGTGTGTGTGTGGACATGCACTCACCTGCGTGTCTGTGTACACACATGTGGTGGCCAGAGGCTGACACTGACATCTTTCTCTCCTGTTCCCCACTGTATTTTTTGAGTCTGTCACTAAACCTGGAGCTTAGCATTTTAACTAGACTGGAGGGTCCTCGGGATCCATCTCTCTCCACGGCAACCCCAGCACTGGAGTTACAGTTGGGCATGTGTATTCATGCCTGGCTTTTCATGTGAGTGCTGGGAGCCCACTGGGATCACCGCAATTGTGTACTGGGCACTTTACCCACTGAACTATCTCCCCGGCCCTATTACATCTTGATTACTTCCCTAAGCTCCTGCTTGTCCCCACCCACCTGGCTCTGCTATGGAGTCTAAAAGGCTTATCAGAGCACAATGACCAACACTGAGCCCTCACCTTCCTCCACTACAATAAACAGACACTCCCAACCATGCTGTCTGGCCATGACAGAAAGTGTTTGGAATCTGCCAAGTTGCTAGAACTCCAAATCAGTCATCCCTGCTGCTTCTGATGGACACTGTGATAGAATATGGAATATACACTTGGTTCTTCAGCTCCTCAAACTGTGATGGACTACTGACAATGGAGAGGGAGTGTCTTCTATCCATACCTGAGCTTACCCTAGTGAGGTGATGCTGGCAGTATGGGGGGGGGGGGTGTGTCATCCACGAAATCAACCATGTGATCAGAATCCTGGAACCCTTAGCCCTCAACACACACTTCAACTTCCTGAGGGAGCTTAACTTCGTGCCTTAATCAACCATGTCTGTGAAGGGCCACTTCCCTAAAATCTCTTCCGGGTTTTTGAACATACCCATGTGCTGGGAGGGTCACATACACCAGCTCCAAGGGGCAAGACACTCCCACTGCCTGCCCATTCCAGATGCTTCCCTCTACCTGGCCACTCCCCTGAATCAGTGACAACGGGCTTCATCATAAATAGGTAATGGTAAGCAAAGCATTTCTCTGAACTCTGCGTTGTTAGGGCAAATCACTGAACCTTGAGGAAGGCTGTGGAAACCCCCGGTTTGCAGCTAAGATGGACAGAGTTTGAGCGGGGCAGGACCTACTACTCTCTATGGTTATTTAAGGCAGGGGCAGCACTGTGGGGTTGAGCCCTGAACTTCCAGGGTCTGCACTAAGTCCACGGAGCTAGTACAGGAACTGAATTAAGTTCTGCAACACCCGTTGGTGTCTGAAGAGAAGTACAAAATGTCGTTGTGTAGGAAGATAATGCCACTGTTTTCCCTTTGGCAAATACCGTCTACATATTCCTCTTATCACACCTCACATGGAATCCTGGAGACAGTGTGACCTTTGTATATTACCCAACCTGTTGATCTGGCGTACCTAATATAGGAACGCTGACTATATCTGCCTTAAAGAATGTTGTCAGGACTGTAAATGTACGTAAATCTCTCAAAATCATAACTGCCAAGGGAGAACTCAGCAAGTGTTATGTGTCATTACGATTCCCTCTGTCCTTTGCAACTGTTTGGGAGGCTGGCTCCCACTCACTCTTAAGGCCACCGGTGAAACATCCTGAGAAAGCCTTTCGCCAACTACCCCAGTTCTCTCCCAACTCACTGTCATGCCATGCCATTATATCTTCATGGGTTTGATACAGAAATTAATTGAGCTTATAATTTTACCATGGAGTTCCCAAATGTAATAATATTTCATTTTTCTGAATCTCATTCATTTAAGATCCGTTGATGTGTGCTTACGATCTAACACGATGTCTTGTGCGTGGGAAGCAGTCTGCACATTATTATTGATGGGATAAATGAACAGACAAATGGGCCGATGTCTAAAACAGCAGAAGAGAAGGTCAATTTTAAAAAGCTGTAGCTTGTGTGCAGGTAATGGGAAAGATTTAAAGACAATTCTGGGGACGAATGGAAAAAAATGTTTAAATTAAATAGAATTTACTGCAAACCTTGCATATACTGGACCCAAGAATTGATAGTTCTGGGAAGTTCCCCAATAACTCTACACTGTGGGTCTGGGAGCCATACTTTAAGAAAAAACACAGTGACAGATTAAAAGAAAAAGAAGGGAGCTGTGGATACCCCCAGTGAGAAAGCACCGCCCTAGATGTAAAAGGCCTGGGTTCAATTCCCAGTGCGGTAAGTCAGTAAATAAGTAAACAAATAAATGATTCTCTTGTGTTTTATTTATTAAATATTCTCCTTTTAAAGCTGCTCTTATCACTATA